GTTCATCTAGTCCCTTTTGGAGTTTCATGAGATATGTATTGTCCCATTTTACAAACGAGAACACTAAGGCGTGCAATATAAAGACATTTTGTTTCGCCCTGTGAATAACGTTGGGTGAAGAGCCCCAGACACTGGGCTGCTGCCTTGTATAGCAGAGGTGATGATTCTTACGCCAACTTCCTACTGTGTTAGAAGGTTCCTGGGAGCCATATCACCGAAGTAGCGTGGCGGCCTGGCATCACCTTCTGGGGCGTATGTGTCTCAGTAATGTCCTGCCAGGAGTGACAAGGCTGCCACACCTGGCCAGTTAGTTCTTCCCCAAGAAAATGGTTCATCTCCAGCTCCACGAGGTGCCAGAGAGTCAGAAATAACCGGAGAGTTGAAAGAGCGTTTTCTGGGTGCCCCAGCCTCCACAGCCCCCTGCAGCTCCACAGCCTGCTGCACGAGGCCCAGCTCTCGCCATCTGAGCCCGGGGGCCCCGCCTTGGGCTGAGCAGGGGCCAGCAGTAATGAGTGGCATTCGGCTCAGACCCGGGAAAAGGCTCAGAGAAGTCTCTGAAGACCTTGATCCTGAAGCAATGTCTGAGCAGGGTTTTCCAGGATGTGAAGTGTTTTTTTGGGACCATCCACCACGTGTCCCGGACATTCTGACCTCCTGAGCCCCCTTCCTTCTCTTTACATTAAGATTCCCATTTCCACACCAGCAAGGCAGTAAACCAAAGCAGTTCAACCTTCCAAGGAGCCGTGCAGTCTGTTGCCAGTGCCAAGGATCTGAGGCCCTGGCGACAACGCCCCAGCGCCAGCAGCAGAGATGGTCCAAATGCAGACCTCTCCACACAGGGGGCACCATGCAGTGTGTCTGTCCTCCTGTGGCGGGCTTGTCTCACTCGTAATGGAGTCCTTGGGGTTCTTCCATGTTTTCCCATGTCACCCCATGTCCCTGTCATTAAAGACTGAATGTTCTTCAATTGTGTGTCTGTCACCTCATATCTGTGGGCCGTTCATTCATCAGTGGTCATTGGACTGTCTCCACATCTTGGCTATTGTGATATGAGGGACCTAAAATAGTCCAACTCACAGAAGCAAAAAGAATAGAATGGTGATTGAGGGGGCTGAGGCAAGGGGTGGGGGTGGCGATGGGGTTGGGCGATGTTAGTCCAAGGCACTGAGTGTCAGCTTTGCAAGATGAGTGAGTTCTAGAGGTCTGTACACTGTGTGCTTCTGGATAACGAAACTGCATTGCACACCTAAAAACTGTTGAGACGGAACTCCTGTTGTGTTCTTGACCTCAAAAAACAGAAAAAGAAACGTCAATTCCAGGACAGAAATAAAAGGAGCAAGTTCAAAAAATACACACACACATACACGTGCACACAAAACCCACAACAACAAAGATACTTTTTTTTTGGCAAAAGAAAGGTATATAATGAGGGCAGTTAAATAATCTGAGTTTTGCTTTCGAAGCACAACTTTGATGTTACGGAAAATATGTGGAGGAAGAGAAACTGCAGCCAAGACAAGTGACAAGTCCTCGTTGGCTGGTCCTGCAGGAAAGTCTTGAAGCTGTAAGGATGGAAAAAGTTCTCCTTTCCCCTCTCAGGGTCCCTGACTGGGTCTGAAAAGTACACCAACAAAGGCAGAGTAACAGAAGCAGCGCAACAGGAGAAAAGCACACACATTTATTCAGTATCAGTGTTGTGTCAGCCAGGAGCCCTCAGAGGGGACTGACGCCCTGAGGAAGCAGACCCGCGTGTCCGACGCTGGTGTGGTGGAGCGTGGGGCGTCCTGGAGGAGCAGGCTGGGCCAGGCGGGAGGAGGTCAGCGACACAGGCTGGGGGGCCTCGGCAGGGCCTGGGTGTGAGGATTCTTCTCCGTGTCTCTGTCTTTGGAGATAAGGATGCTCCCTCCTTTTCTCCAGGCATGGGGAGGGCCCCTCTGGCCTGAGAGCTCTATGACCTGTTGCAGGGGAGAAGGGAGGATTTGGTGTGGGTGGTTAGATCTTTCTGCTTCTGCTGTTTCCTCAAAGTCTTCAACTTAAAATATGCAATATACCAAAGGTGCTGTTATTTGAAGGTTGGTGTGACAGAATCCCAACGACAGCATAGTAAGCAGGGTGGGAAATGACCGGACAAACTGCTTTGAGGTTTCAGAGGTAGAATCAGCTGCCTTCTACCCGAGGGATTCAGCGTCATGGGCCAGGGGACGAGAAGGCCAATGTTTCTCCCCTGGATACGGCGAGTTTGAAGGACCTGCGGGATATCGAGGGTTAGATGCTTAGTACGCACCTAATGCTATGGCTCTGTGGGATCAAGAAGTGTGAATGGAACCAGGAACTTGGCAACAAAGGATACGTGAGAGAATCACTAACTCTAGCCTGGGAGTGTAAAATCAAAACCCAAACAGGCTAGAGGGCAAAGTCCCAATGGACATCAGCATTTACTGGTAGGAGGAGAAGTTGGTGTAGCCAGCAGAATGTTAGATTGTGAAATAGAAGCAAAGCTGGGGGAGTTTCCAGGAGTAAGTAATTTCTGGCAATGCCTAATATTTTGGCAATGACAAATAAAACATTAGCCCTGAAAGGAGATTATCAGGTTAAACAATTAGGCCATTTATAACCTCAGAGAAAGCACTTTCTGTGATCCTGTCCGGCAGCAGAGTGTACTCTGCTGAAACAGGGATGCCGGGGCCAGAGAGTTCCTCCAAGAAACTAACCAAGTACATTTCTCTGCCACCGAGAGGGGACCAACTTTTTAAGGGCATTCCAGAGCTAATGGAACACTTACAGAAAACAAGCTCAAGACCAGATAGAGTAAATCTTGAAACATTTTCTCCTGGTACTTTACTAGTACCCAGGATAACTTCTGACACATAGTAGATGCTCAGAAAACGTGCTGAAATGATTGTAACTTGTTTCAGTTTACTGACTCAGTGTTTTCCCTATATAATGGAATCTTGGTAAGGTCTTACTATACTTAACATGTTTCTTTTTTTTCCCTTTCTTTTTGAGCATAAAATTTGGTTCAGCGATTTTGGAATTACGGAAGCAGTTATTTCCAGCATGTGCTCACGAAGCAATTCACACTAGCTGTTCTTAACTGTTGGCAACCTCCGCACCTGGTCATTGCTTAAGGAAGCATTTCTGTAAAGTTTTAAATTCAGTTGAAAGTGATTTCATGTTAATTTATTTAAGTTCTACTTTTTTTCCTTTCTGCGTTTTGGTTCTTCATTCTGCTTTTAATGCCACCCTGTGATGGAGTGCAAAGTTGAGAAGTGTGTTTGTACTGTGTTTTCTTTCCAGCAAGCAAATCCCCCCCCCCACCCCCAGTCCCATGGGGAGTGGCCATCACTGCTCTGATTTCTTTTTTTCTTTAGATTTTATTTATTTATTTTTAGAGAGGGGGAAAGGAGGGAGAAAGAAAGGGAGAGAAATATCAACGTGTCGCTGCTTCTCACAAGCCCCCTACTAGGGACCTGGCCCACAACCCGAGCATGTGCCCTGACTGGGAATCGAACCTGTGACCCTTTGGTTCTCAGGCCAGAACTCAATCCACTGAGCCACACCAGCCAGGGCTGCTCTGATTTCTATGTAGTCACTGCCTTGCATTTTTAAAACGATTTTTATTTATTTATTTTTAGACAGAGGGGAAGGGAGAGAAAAAGAGAGGGAGAGAAACATCAATGTATGGTTGCCTCTTGCGCTCCCCACACCAGGGAACCTGGCCTGCAACCCAGGCATGTGCCCCAACTGAGAATTGAACCAGCAACCCTCTCCTTCACAGTCCAGTGCTCAATCCACTGAGCCGCACCTGCCAGGGCCACTGCCTTGCTTTTTAAAATCGACCCAGGTGTGCATTCCTAAATGTGATGGTCTAGTTTTACTTCTTTTTACAAGGCGTGTTTTTGAAGTATCTTATCTTTTTTGGGCTTCTCTCTTCCCCTTTCTAATGTATCTCTTGAAACAAACCACAAATCTTCGCTCAGTATGGATTTTGTTGATTACTTTCATGGGTGTAGTTTAATGTGTTTCCGTCCCCTGTATTTCCTATAAACCAGTGATAGGATCTAGAGACGTAGTCAGTTCCGGGACCTCCCTGCCTTTTTATTCCCAGATCCCTGCCCAGGTGGTGGGTGTTCTGGTTGAGAGGTGATAGTAACAGTAGATGCAAAATGCCCAGATCCATGACTCATTCATTCAGGGTTGAGACCTCATTGCATTACATTTCTTCACTTAACTTGCTGGAACTCTACAGAGAAGTTCCTTCTCTACTGTTTGGCTACCATAAGTCCATTTAGGCAGAGCAGTGTACTTGTTTGATTTTTTAAAAATTTACCACTGTTCAAAATAAAGAAACTGGCTGGTCGTATGTCACGTGTATCTCACTTTCCATGTCCATCTCTGTATCTACATCTATATATTTAGTTGTAGATAAATCACCTCCAGGCTCTGTACTGGTATTTCAAATTCAGGACAATTCAGAATATCAGGTGGATATTTAAATTCTTCTGTCTGAGATATGTATCTTTACCCAATGCCTCCAGGTTCTCAAGGAGTGAGTCTGGGAAGGACAGAGTTAGTACGTCGCACAAACGCACGTGATACACAAAACATTCTTGTAGTAACTGCAGAGGACTCCCCACTGGTTTGGTTTGTTTCCACTGCGCCCGCTTCTGCCAGGGCACAGGGCACAGCTCCGCACAGTTCTTTCCTTCCTGTATCCTGTCAGCTAGAGATTTGAAGGAGGCAAACGTCACAGCCTGAGGCTTTTGCAATTCTGTCAATGTTTTAACAAAACTTGCCTTTAGCTCTGCCTACGCAAGAGGATGATAAAGGAAGGGAAATCTGCGTCGCTGAAGAATACTTCTTGGAAGAAATGTCACATTAAGAAACTGTCTCGGGAGAGCACAACTGTTGATGACTTAAACTGTTTCATATATCGGATTTCCCTTAAACATAGCTTTTACAATGTCTCTTTGTTGTTGTTTTCTTTCTGTGGCTAATAGAACATTCCAGTGTTGCAGTAGTAAAAAACATCACTTTACAAAGTCCATCGAATATAAAACTCACATGCGAGTTCACAGCATCCGGGGATCCGAACTCAGTGAACGTGTCTTGGAAAAAGGATGATGAGCCCTTGGAGAATGATATCATCAATGCAACGGACAGATTGGTATACACTCAATACTCGTGAGTAGGCCAAACTGCAACCTGTGGGCTCACCTGAAATTGCTCGTTAAATCCTGAGCTTCTATTGGCTGGTGGGCTCTCCTTTGTTGTCACTGGAATGTTATGCTAATATTCAAAATGGAGTATTTACAGATTTTTTTCTTCCTATTCTAGCCATTTGATTCATAGCTATGTCTTCATGTTTACTAGGAAGTGTTTTGAAAACTAAGCTTGTATTAACAACTTAAATTATCTTTAGGTTCACCATCATTAATAGCAAACAATTGGGAAGTTATTCTTGTATCTTTCAAGAAGAAAAGGAAAAAAGGGGCACATTTAATTTAAAAGGTCAGTACTAATAATATGTAAAGTTATAACCAGTATTCTAAGAATTCTAAATCCCCCAGTTCTTAAATTATTATTACACTGCTAAACATAATGCACCTGAAAGACATTCATAATATGCTTTCCACTGAAGTGTAAGTGGCAGCCTTTAAAACGGTGCTTCCTCTTGTCTGCCCAGAGGTCGGATTGTATTTCCCAGACTACTCCCACTTAGCTTCCAGCCCTCATTTAAGCACAGGCTTTAGTTAAAAGGACCAGGCTGCCATGTCATTTGTAAGTCATAGCAGTCTTTTCTTCCTTCCCTCCCTCCCTCCCTCCCTTCCATCCATCCCTCCATCCCTCCACCCCTCTAAACTCAGAGCTTTTATAATGGCCCTTCGGGTGTCCAAGTGACTGCAGTCCTAGGCTGTGAGAATATGTGTCACATGTGGAAACTCAGGGAAACCATAAAACTTTAAAATAATACAGAGACACAAAAGGGCTGCCTGCTTTGGAGGCCATCGAGTTAAGGACTTCCCAGAACGTGATGCCCGGCTCTCCCTTGTGGAAACGGACAAATCAATGTATTTTACTCCTGCCATCATTAAAACGAAACTTTAAAGATCTCAGACACATCAAAAAGACTAGTCATTCAAGTTCAATAGTCATCTTCAGGAAAACCCCCACGTGGTGACAGGTTAGTGAACACAGTGTCCACACTGGTGTTTCAGAAGTGCAGTCTGGTGCCATATTGATTGACTACTTTGGACTTTTCTACACATTAACTTCCCAGCAAACAAGAGAAATCATTGTCCAGCTAGCTGCTGGGACAAAATAGGGACACTGTCCGGGAGGCCCTTCTACAGCAGCGTGGCCTGCTCTGTCACTGCCGTGATGTGAGGTGGCTCGCTCCTACACACCCCCCTGCTTCCTTCTCCACTCACCGGCTTACTTCTTAAGGTTCTGTAACTGTGCCATCTCGGTAAACACAGTAAATCCTGGTGTTTATGGAACTTGGTCTTGGCAAAGGCAGAAAACTGTTATCCTCTTTTGATTATTTTGATCATGTACATTCTCTCTCAACCTTCTTTCCTTCATTTGTCTAATTTAACTTAGGGAAGTATAAACTATATACAGTTCCTTCCTTTAGTCATTCTTTTCCTTCCCTTTTTTATTTTCCTTTTCCTTCTGTCTTTTCTCCAGCCTCCCTTCTCCCCTTCCCACAGAGTTAAAAGGATATCGAACACATGTACACATGTGTGCACACACACACAATCGCAGTCAAGATTTTACTGAGTCTCCATTAAATATGTAAAGAAGACCTCAAGGTCTTACAGTACTCAGCAAATCTGGAGGCTTAATGTGGTTCCAGGAAATTGAATTTTAAAAATAGTTTTATTGCTCACTTCTAAAAGGCTTTGTCTTCTACACGTGTGCACTAGTTACGCCTCTTCAAAGGTTAAATATTGACAACATTACGTGTTTCTCAGTAGCTTTCTTGTACTAAATTACCTGAGCCATTATTTGGAAGTGATTGTTCCTACTTCTAATGGGAAGGTGAATGGGAACATTTCACTTTTCAATATACCAGTAGATTTAATGCCAGTAGTCTTCTTTTTAAAAGATATAATGTGATATGTAACCAAGATTTATTTATTTTTTTAAACATGTTTAAAGATTTTTATTTATTTATCTTCAGAGGGGAAGGGAAAGAGAGAGGGAGAGAAGCATCAATGTATGGTTGCCTCTTCTGCATCCCCTGCTGGGAACTGGCCTGCAACCCAGGCATGTGCCCTGACTGGGAATTGAACCGCAGTTGTTTGGTTCGCAGGCCTGCACTCAATCCACTGAGCTACACCAGCCAGAGGTTAATGCCAATAGCCTTGAAGGAGGGCTCCTGATTTCGTGTCTTTCAGAGATAAAGGGTCCAGAGTTGGCTGGAGCACCAATGTATAGCCTACATAGGAAATCAAGTGCTTTAGGAATAAAAGTGGCACTGAACATTTACTTCTTTAAAAAAATAGTTTTCTTGAAGCACTTTAGTTCAGTTTATTAGGTGCAATGCCCACTGAACATTAATATAACTTTTAAGCGTGTACTAGGTATATCATGAGGATATTTATAAAATTAGTAAGTTGAGCCCTTCTAGATCTTTTGGAAAATAGTAATCCTCTGTAATTTATCTAAATTAATACTGTTTTGAAACTAATTTCTTTTGATTACAATTTAGAGATGTGTGGGCATCTGCAGAACAACTCCTGTTGCAGGTAATTTAATTAGGTCTGTAAGGCTTAAAGAACGGTATGTATTTTTGTCAACGTCCCATTATGCTTTCTCCACATGGGCTGCGTAGGTTTTAAGGAGGATTATCTTTCCTTAGCAGTACTACAACTGTGCGTGGATAAGGAGCCTGCTTTATAAACTCTATTTTCAGTTGAGCCAAAAAAAAAATTTCTGCTGTTGACTTCATGAGTCAGCTGTAGAGCGTGCTCTCCAAACAGTTTATCAGCAGTGCTCCTGTCTCTGCCTTTCTGGGCACCGGGTGATTTATTGCTACAAGATTGTAAAAGGGCCGCCACGTCCCTGATTGGTCCAGCGCAGAAAGCCCTGGCTGACTGTGTGCATTTGCCTGCTGATGCCCGTAATGGAAGGCAGCCGATGTCGGTGATTGCCTTCCTCCCCAGGCGGATGAGTGATGATGTACAGGGCTTCTCTGCAGTGGCTCAGATATTCTGAGGTCGTTGCTACACTATTTATCAGTGTTAAAATCTCTTAGCAGAAAGATGCCGTTTGGTTGGTATAGGACCAGTGACAGGACATGGAACGCTGGGGTGTCATGGGGAGGTTTTGAGTTTTGATGGTGCCGTGTGCTATGACACGTGGGCCCACCACCATCTTCACTGGGAAGTGCCCCAGAGACCAGTGTGGCAGTGTGGCAGTGTGGCTGGAACCCCAGCTGCAAACCCCGGGGTTGAAGTTGGCTGTCCGTGACCATATGGAAGATTCTTTTCTTAATCTGAAACTAAATAAACTAAGCCCCAAACGACCAGGTTGGTTTTTTCTGGTTCGTGAACATGTAGATAGAAATCGCCAACCTTGGAACTCCACAGGGCCTTCTCTTTCACTCAGGGGATCGCAGAACCCATTTTCCTGGAGATCAGCCTAACTCAGCAAATTCACCGTCTTTAAGAATGGATGCTTCTAATCGCATATGTCCTGGTTTATCCCAAGTTCCAGGAGGTCAGCAGGACACATTCGAATGCAGCATTACTGTCCTTCTGCTCACGAATACTTCCAAATACAAGCCGCAGCCCACACCACCTGTACCTGTGCCTGCGGAGTGGTTCAAACCAGCGACGCCCCCCGAGCACAGAGCATTTTATCATTTAGACCCATGCTGCCAGCGTCAGCCACAGAAGGCAGAGCCTGGCGGTGGTTAGTGTTGTCATGACCATCAGTCCGGGGACAGCAGGAAACACAGGAGATGAAAGAAGGCAGAAGGTCTGTTTGTTTCCCCCTGGCACCACTGCCGTCCGCAGTCTGTGTCCCGATCTGAACGCTTCGTGGAGATGGCTTCTTGGTGCTGCAATGCATCCCTCCCCCGAACCTCGCAAAACACCCAAGGTTTTCTTGAAAAGTCCCTTCCGGCGGCAGGTATGCTTCCCACGCCTCTGCTGCTTAGACGGCTATTGATAAAGCGTCTCTTTGACTGTGGTTTCCCTAAGACATGGCTTTCCTTCCGCTTTGGGTTCTCAGGCTGCGGGTCCACGTCAGTGTTTTGATCATATTCCGACACCTATTTTCCTGCTGAATCGTGACCTGTCATCTCTTCAGAAGAAAGCACGCTGAGATGGAGAAGGGGGGTCACTACCTGGGAGACCAGCAGGTGGGGGACACAGGAACTGCCGGCCGCCAGTTTCAGTCAGCCTTCAGGGCAGCGTTTGCCCTGAGGCAGCCTTGCCTGGCTCTGGAAGTGGCTGCATCCACAGCTGCATTATTAAAAGCACGGCTCCACTCCGTCTGTGGTCTGGAAGGAGCCTGGGGCTTCAGAGAAGATTCCCTGCTTGAGCCAGGAATCTTGAGTCTCTGCTCAATCTGCAAGTCTTCAGCTGGGGCCTCTTCTGGGTTGAACTTTTGTTGTTAAAGATTTTATTTATTTATTTTTAGAGAGGGGAAGGGAGGGAGAAAGAGAGGGAGAGGAACATCAGTGTGCGGTTGCCTCTTGCATGCCCCTTACTAAGGGCCTGGTCTGTAACCCAGTCATGTGCCCTGACTGGGAATTGAATCGGTGACCCTTTGGTTCACAGGCCGGCACTGAATCCGCTGATCCACACCTGCCAGGACTGGGTTGATCTTCCCAAGTGGGACTTTATGTTGGCTGTGCTCATGTGCTCTCACACTTCATTTAATAACAAAGCTACCCCAGGCGTTGGGTATATTGCAGCGAAGTATGATCAGGAAGTGGTGCTGAGCTAACAGATGAATAGTGTTTTGTCCAAAAACCCAAGAATAACTTTGTTCTCACTTGGTCCAATCATTTCCTCACAATAAAATATCAAATATAGAAATATACACAAAAAAGACACCAAAGCAAAATAAAATATGATGATGATTAGCCAGCCTTGGCCACACACCTTGCTGAAATCCTTGAAGGCCTGACCTCATGGACCGCTGCTTTTTTCTCAGTGAGGGTCTCACTGACCTCACACCAAAGCACAGGCACCTGTTCCTCCAGGTCAAGCCCAAGCTCAGTCTGGTGGTTGCCACTCCACGTCAGAGGATACACCCTCATGAACCAGGACACGCGCTGGTCATGGGGGTCCAAACTCCCTGCCCCCAGACACAGGGCCCAGTCGGAGCCCTGAAATGTGACCCATCCAGGACAGCCCTCTCTGGACTGGGGAACCGGAGGGCTGGAGGAGAGGAGGGGATTTACATCAAGGTCACCAGGGACCTAAGTCCACAGATCGCTGCCCTGCCTTCGGCTGCCACCTGCCCCATGTCTAGTGGAGGAAACTAGCTCCACCGTAAGAAAACAAAACACTACAGTGTTCTGTGGTTCAGCCTGATTTAGGTCATTCCTACCCTGACACTTGACCTCATTGTCTTATTTCTCCAAAGCGTATGCTTTACTTATTATGTCAGCACCAGGACAGATAGCCAACCAACTCTCGTGGACCCTAGAGTTGCTTCCAGTTTTCTCATGTGGGTTGTTTTCCTCGGCGAGCATGCGCTCTGGGTCTGCAAAGGAGCCCTGAAGGCGCAGCCGCAGGCTGAGCCAACCGAACCAAACTGGTGGAAGCAGCTTGACCCAACAGGGCAGAGCACTGGGGTAAGAGTGTTCTGCACGGGGGTCCGCCTATCAGTAATCAGTGTTGTAGCTGGACCCGCGCTCATGGTTCTGACTATGACTGCAACACGCCTGCCCTGCCTCAGGAAACTGCAAAACTGCAGGTTGGATTCTTAGGAGACCCAGAAGGGACACAGCCCAGCCGGGGCCACAGGGGTTGTGGGGAGAGAGGCTGAATAAGCACCGGGCTGAGGTTCTGCTTTTATTGGGGCCATGGGTGGGGCCCAGGGTTTCGTGGGCTCACTCCTATTGGTGAATTTAAACAAAAGGAGTGGAACTTTAAAGCACAGGAAGAGGAACTAAACAAGTGGTCCACACACTCATTATTGAAACCGACCAAGACCTTTAAAACAGAGGAGCCGCCGTGGGTGACGGTGGCCGTGACCTAGCCCTGCGGGTGGCCCTTGTTTCCCTGAGATGGCCGTCTCTGAAGCGGGTGCCCTGGCCATCGAAAGCACTTGAATTTCGAACTAGAAAACAGAAGTCAGGGCTTTGCTGTGCAGAGACACTGCACTTTTCTGTCTACACAGGCACGTGGGCAGCAATTACTCCCTTATTCAAAATTACAGCTTTTGGTTGTTTCAAAGTGTTGTTTGCTGTATTCTGCCCTTTCTTGGTAAGAGCAGTGTGTAGTGAATGGGACATTTCATTCTTATTCTTAGATCTTATTACGTTATGTGAAGTTATTCCGAGTTCTCTTCCTGTCCCATACACTACCTAGATCCAAAACCAAGATTTTCTTTTTAAGGTTTTAACCAAGCTCATTCCATCTCTTGTATGATAAGGAGCAGTAATTAGGCACCCTGATTTAAAATGTTCTAATGTATACTTAGAACATTTTTAATTTTTAAAACAAACAAAATCTGCTTCGACCACTTTAGCCAAGCACCTGAAAGTGCGCCCCTGTCGCTTCATGAAGTCGTCTGCTCCACTGTTCGCTGCCACCACCAGCCACTCAAAGCTCCTTTTTCTTCGTTCTTCTGGGCCTGTTCTCCCATGAATTCGTCTCTATTTTTCATCACCTTTCCATTTGAACCTCCATTTTCAAACGGGCGGGGTGGTCCGTGAGGGACTCAGCTTGGAGCCTTTGCCTCCTTTTGGCTGCACCCACGCATTCTGGCGGTTCCGAGATGAGTTCAGAAGAATTCCTTTTTCTTCTGGGTCACTTCTTCTCTGCCCCACGTGGCCAGCCGGCCAGTCGTCCTGCACGTGACGATGATGCACCCGGGGAAGCTGGCTGATGAGCGCTGCGCAGAAAGGCTGCGGGCATCACAAACCACCCGGTTCAGAGAAGCAGTGGTACCCGGTCACGACAGAAGTTTGAGCGTTGTGGTGTTTCCTCTGCATCTCGCACTTTCTGGCACCTGTTCCCATGTGGAATCCTGTACAGCAGAGGTGTCAAACTCATCTTCACGGGGGCCACGTCAGCCTCGTGGTCGCCTCCAAAGGGCCGAGTATAATTTTAGGGCTGTGTAAATGTAACTACACTTTCACAGTTAAGGGCGGGCTTGGTGCTGCCGCGGGTGGAAACAAGGCAGAGGGCGGATTGGGGTGTTTGCCGCCTGTGACGCACAGCTACACTGCGAGGCACGTTGGGGTCACCGCGTGTGTCCTCAGTGCGGCTGACGCTGAAGCTGCCGTTGCCATTCAGGTCTTCTGTGGACCCAAACTTTGTCTTTGTCACGCTGCTGGCATGTTGTACTGTCTCTTTCAAACACTCATGACCTGATCTTTGGAATGGACACACAGTGACCACTTGTCCCTTAGTGTCCCTCAGCCCAATGGTGACCAATCAGGCTGTGGGACTCCTTTCCCAAGGAGTGCGCAGAAGATCTCCTGGCCAGCACACCAGTGTCTTCCAGCTACGATGGCGTCGGTCGGGCTAGTCATGTGCACTTGGGTCCCTATTCCCACAGGGACACCCCAGTGCCACCTCACCAGCCTTTCATAAACTACGAGTCAGGTCAATATACATTCTGATTGGCAAGTCGCATCTTCAGTTACGTAGAATTGTGGGCCGTTCGGCACCATCACAACATATTTCCCTGGCTATGAGAAGTGGAGAACCAGTGCTTACAGGTGGCTCTGTCGTCCGTCTCAGCGTCACTGAAGCATTCGAGGGTGACAGTCCCTCCTCTCACTGACCTCTCGTTATTATCAGCAGTGCCTCAGTCGGTACCCCACAGGTTGGTGGGCCCAACGGAGGAGAGGCTGATGGTGTAATTACATTATATTTATTTAGGCCCCATTTAAACAGTATGGAAAAAAGAGTACTTCCCCCACTCGTCACTGTGACAGTGATCACCGCAGGACAGAGCCCACGAAGAAACCACACTCTACAGCTCTGCTTTTACCCCTTCTCTGCTGCTTAGACAAGTCAGAATTTCTTTTGTAGTTGTTAGCAATTATTTTTCCCTTCTTCATCTGTACAGTTCACACATCCAGCAGGGACCTAATTATCTTTGGGTAGGAAAGAGCCAAGAGAACTTGGAAAATGCGTTTAATATAGAAACAATTTTAGTCATTCAAATTGATCTTTCTGTTCCCCACCCTCACTCTCTCCAAAATAAAACCTAAAAATAGGATAACAGATCAATACCAAAGAATACCTACAAAATTTGTGAACATCGTATTAAAACTCAGACAGTTTTTTTACATTCTGTCTCTGTTGGCAAACCAAACAACAACAAAAAAGGAAAAAACAAAACACAAAACCAAAACCTTGCTTAAATTAGTAAAAGGAAAAGAAAAAGTATCAACAAAAGTAATCTTAGTTGACAAGTCTACGTAGTCTTTGAAGCAACTCAGAAGGAACTGGTTTCGCCATGGAAACAATTGGTTGGCTTTTTATTATTTTATGTTTTAACTTATTGGCCAAATTATTTGGTCCTTAACACTTAATTTTTCTAAAGCCAGCTGTCATTTTTATTTCTAATGGCATCTACTTCAAACTTAAGAAATTTATTACAGTGCATATGAATTTATATATTTATAAAACCACATGAAAGGATTTTTTAGTTTCTTTTCTTTCCTACTCTATTCTCTTGCTCTTAATTTTCCCACGTTCCTTTTCATGTTCCTTCTTTAACTCTTTGATGGCTTTTCATTCATCTGTATCAGCTAAAGAATTTATATACTGACAATTTTGTCTCCTCAATCAAATGCCATCTAGGAATAAAACTTTGAAAAAAAATTGCTCTAAAGTAGCTTAATAGGTAGGAAGAAATAGGCTTGGAACATAAAATTTCTTATCCAACCATGTAACAATTTATTATAGTACTTCTCATTGTTATTAGATTCAATACTAGAAGATCTTTCTTTTATTTCTGCATTACAATTACATTTAGCTATCTACTACCTAACTGTTTCTATTATACACCCTGACTATTATAACTAGTTTCATTTTTATAGAACTAAAACTAAAGTCATATTAATGAGAAAACAAAAGAAAGTAACTTCAACTTGAATACATCCTCCTTACTCAAACTCTTTCAGTAATATGCATTTCTCTAAATTTCTCTTAGTCCCTGAAATTCATGGCAAAAACAAACCATTGATCACTTATGTGGGGGATTCCACGGTCTTGATGTGTAAATGCCAAGGTTGTTTTCCTCTAAATTGGACCTGGTACAGCAGTAACGGGAGTGTGCAGGTAAGATCGTATTTCTTTGAGTAGAAGAAAAAAATTACTTCATAAATAATGAGATTATAGCAGCCTCAGAATTCCTAGGACTATTTATAGGTCTGTTATCTTTTTCTTTAGTATGTATTCATACAGAGAGAACAGTGGTACATGCAGCTGTCATTGATGTTTTTAGCTTAGGGCATTATACATCTGCAAATGTACTGTTTCATTAGCTGGTACTTTGCTTTTTAGATTTAAGCAATGCATTTAAACTTTTTGGAAGGAGGTTAAAAGGAAAAAATAAGTCGTTTTTCACTGACGACCTTAGAAACAATCCAACAAAAAAAGATCCTTTTTCTTTTATTGTTTCAGGAAAGTAACTAGAAAAAAAGAGTCCTTTTTCTTTTCCTGCTTCTGTCTCTAGAGAACAGAATGAAACCTTGGTAATTGAATTTAGGTCTTAGGTTATTTTATTAACCCTCTTTGGCCTTTTTTTGACCTCGCAGAGACTTAAGGGAAGCCAAATACTTAATATTCTTATTAAGGAATTAATGGCTATTGAAAGAGCCGATATTAAGAAAAACGGGAGTATTCAAGAAGTCACTTCCGGCTCTCTTTCTTCCTTTGAAATAGCCTCAAATAGTACAAACATTTAAGAAATTGCCCTTCAGGGGACACCATCTATTGCCCTGCTGCTAAGGATCATGGAAATGAAGCCTTCTTTGCGAAGGCCAGCTGTAATTCTAGAAGGAACAGGACGAGACAGTAGAGGTCGTACCATGAAATATTAACTTCCTTCTGAGACAAAATTCGTACTGTTGAAGGAGAGAGAAGGGACTTAAGAAGGTACAGTGGCTGATTCTGTACTGTTGGTTTGATTTTTCAAAGAAATAGTTCCGAGTCATTTAGGAGTAGACTTAAACCACTACTGTTTCTGCTTATCTTGGTGATGATTGGGAAAGGCAATCACTTTTCGTATACAAATATTTTTTTAAAATGTAAACTTGTAAAAATATTCACTGTGGTTTGGAAATACACAGTTTAATTTACTAATGCGTATCTGATACTGACAAAGGTACCCTGTATCTAATTATGTTACCTTTTCAAATGTCATCTGTGCTTCTCTCCATTTGCTCTACTAAATTTCTCTAAACTTGGCCCTCAGCATGGGTCATATTAGGATGTGAGAAAAACGCAAGGAACGGGGTGTAGGTTAAGTGGTTTTTCAAGATGCTGATGAACCAGCTGCACCGGAATCGACCACCTGGGAGGCCCATTGCTGGTGCTCTGAGTCATCACTGAGTTAGAGAGGATGCGTTTGTGTCCATCTTCACAGGTAGCTGTGCACAGAGAGCGTATTACTACAATTAGGGGGTGAATAATAGACCCACACAGAGCTCCTCATTGGACCACCTCTGAGAATGCTTGCAGATGAACGTTTATTGAACAGTGCAGGTGAGTGATAGAGCCCTGAGGGCAGCCTGGGAGTAAAATTTAATTTAAATGGATCAAATAAATAAGCCCCCAACAGCTTAAGATGGCTCTTCAGTGACTGGGAAAACCCAGTGAATCCCTGAGAAGCTAGCGTGCCTGAGAGAGACAGAAAATTCCAATGTGAGAAGACAGAGAGTGGGCAGACCACCGCATACACTGGACTCACTGGGGCTTTCTGCCAGTCCTTACGCACCATCTTTAAAGGCCTGAAGGTTTCCTCTTCAGTTTTGGTTGGAGGACCTCCCAGTGTCAGGAGCCAGCGATCCTCTATTGTCGGAACAATCAGATTTGATAGCTTCATTAATTTAATCCCACATTTAATGTATGCCTGTGCTTGTGAAGGAGGAAGTTCTTTGAACAGCCAGTCAGGAATTAGAGCGTGAAGCCTAGAGGGCTGGAGGGTTTCTGTATTTTTAATCCTCACATTACATTTGCCTCTGATGACCTACATGCTGCAGTTTTGAACCTTTGGTGTTAATTAAGTATGCAAAACAAAGTTTACTTCTCCTGCATTTGATGCCCTTCAGAGATCCAACTCTGACAGGACTCCAGCTCTGTTATGCATAACTTCTCACAAATTTTAATGTGCCCTTTTCCGCTAAGCAGTTTCCTCGGCACTATCTTAGAGCGTCTGCTCCAAACTGGACCCTTTAGCTGGTGTGTGCAACCTCGGCCCACGGGGCTCAACACAAAATCGTAAATTTACTTAAAACATGATGAGATTCTTTGTGTATCATTACATGTCACATTGTATTGAATGTGTGATCCGAGACAACTCTTCTTCTTCCAGTGCAGCCCAGAGACACCCAAAGGTTGGACACCCCAGATTTAGGGTGTGCAGCTTATATGCAGTATGATAGGAATGGGTTTCAATGTCTCCTTCTATTAGGTTCCGCTTGATGCTCAAATGACCGATAAGTATGTGATCAATGGAACGAGTGTCAATGAAACGAGGCTCAAGATAATGAACCTCTCTGAGGAAGACCAGGGGACCTACAGGTGCCACGCGGAGTTCCCGTTGGGCGAGATCGAAGACCAGCTCCAGCTGGTTGTGCTGAGTTACCTGGTGCCCCTCAAACCGTTTCTTGCAATAGCTGCGGAGGTGGTTATTTTAGTGACTATCATTCTGCTTTGTGAAATGTATACCCAAAAGAAAAAGAACCGCCCAGGTAGGGTTTGTTTTAATTTTTTTAGATAACATTCTCATGTTATGACTTAATACATTACAGGGGCTTTAGGGTTTGGGGGGGGAATCTAGTTTTTGTTCTTTGGGGTGATATTTATATTAATATCAGTGGTGATGGTGAGCTATGAGCTTGTGTCAATGGTCTTCCTATTTCAACTCACCAAACTATTTCAGTGTTAAAATAGACCTTCCCACCTTTCCTTTGGCGTTACTGGTCCCTACGCACCAGTTAAGGAGATAGATGCTTTGGTCGTGGACTGCACATTGGGAAATTCTGTGGTAGCTTAATATCAAAGGCAAACAATTACTTGTTCAGGTAGATGACTCACTTAAAATTGTTTTACCATGCATTGTAGAGTTCTCATGGAAGAGACACTGTCCTGTTAGTTGCTGGTTTTCATAGGCTCCACCTGATAGATTGCAGGTTCAGAAACCAATGGCCCCCTCTCAGGAAAGTTATCTTCAATTCTGTATTCTTTCCTGATTTTGCACTACATTTTTAATAACTTCAATACTTTTAAATTAATCTGTCAATCAACCCTGTCTTGAAAATCCGAGGCAGCAGACATTGCCTAGTGGAAATGCCAGGTGAGGCGTGAGAGCAGGAAGGCGCAGCTGTCCCGTGTCCCTTGTCTCTCGTTCCCCGGGGAAAACAGCACAGCGTGTCTCTAACTCGGGGGAAAGCTGAATCGAACGTACTGCTCCATAGGAATCATAAACTAATCTTAATATTAACATTTATATTCTTCCTTCATTACACAGATGATGGGAAAGAATTCGAACAAATTGAACAGCTGTAAGTAGCAGTTTTTCTAGATTCATTTTCACGTGAGAGAAACACAGATAATCATGAAATAGGATGAAATGTTTATAGTTGGGGGGAATCCCCCGGGTGTGTTACGTGTGTGTTCCCTTCTGTCCCTGTTGCGGTGAGACGCCTGGAATTTGCCTGCTGTCATTGGGCTGTCCCGCACCATGACTTCCACTTCTCTGTGCTTCCCTTTTCCCCTCAGAAAGGGGGCTTAACGTCAGCACTTACAACACAGGGCCGTCGGATTACAGGGTATTACACCTGTAAAGTGCCTGGGCTGGGGATTTGGTGTGCAGAAGGGGATCAGTAAGCACAAGGAAGCGCTGTGGTGCGATGCACCGATGCCCAACCCTGGTTGCATTTCTGATCACTCGGGGTGCTCAGTGACCCCGACCTTCCTGGGTCTCCAGGTCTGAACTCCCTGGGCTTGGTGCCTGGGCATCTGCATTTCTCCCACATGTCAATCACTGATGCAGATTCCCTGTCATGTTGAAAACAGCTGGCCTAGAATTCCATCAGCCATTACTTTCGAAGGCACCCAGCTTGTGCCACGGGCTGGCACAGCCCCCTCTGTGTTGAGCTGAGTGTGACAAGGGCTGGGACAGAGGTTATGGGGATGGGCCTGGTGTGCTGAAGCTGAAGTTCAGTTCCTCCAAACCTGAGCACCGGCTGATGGAGCCCAGCGGCAGAGGCAGCCTAGGCCAGGGTGGAAATCTGAGCGACATCTGGTTTATACCTGGAAGTCGTACCTCTTCCTCTCCTTCATCTTTTTCATCCATCCCCTCCTCTCTGGCAACCGTCTGTTTGTTCTCTGCTTCTGAGTCAGTTTCTGCTTTGTTTGTTCATTTGTTTTCTTTTTTAGAGCCCACTATGAGTGAAATCTTACGGTATTTATCTTCCTCTGATTTATTTCACTTCACATAATGCTCTCTAGGCCTATACATTAGCCACAGGGCTGTAATGCCCAGCATAGAGGAAATAGTCCATAATATCATGATAACTTTGTGTGGGGATAGATGGTTGTTGGACTTGCTGTGGCGGCACATTGTAAGGTATACAGATGTTGAATCCCTATCTTGTGCACCTGAGACTAATACAGTATTTATGTCAATGACACTTCAAAAAATCTGAGTATAGAGTCAAGGGCTGAAGACCAGGAAAATGAGACCAGAGGACAGCAGAAACTAGAGGCCTAGCCAACTGTTACCAAAACAAAATTGCACTTAAATTTTCTTGCTGTCAGCAGGCAGGAGCTCTGAGGTGTGGGTGCTGTAGCCACCACGCTCAAAGAGTAGGGCATGAGTGTGCCCTTGTCATTTAGATAGTTGTAGACATTATTCAACACAGTTGTTTTTACTCAATTCACATAGGGCAGGTGAAATGAGTCAATGCTCTACGAAGTTCTAAATTAAGGCCATTAAATAATTACATCGGGAGTCCTGTATCCCCAGACAGGAATAGAAGTATTGTCATAGAATCACACGCTCCCAGTTGGAAGAGAACTAATCGCCTCTCTTTCCGGATAACCTGGACATCTTGTTTATATTCATGTGAACTCTTCATCCTTCTGGTTCTCATGTATAGAGTCCCTCTCTTCTACTTCAAGCTATATGAAATGCTTGACAGTCGTTGTGATGTCTGAACAATCCCAGCTTTGCCTGGCTCTCCCTCCAGCCACCAGCTCAGCCTCCCAGGTGCTTCTGAGCATCCCCTCGCGGCGACCTGGGGGCTGCTCCGGGCTCAGCACATGCGAGTCTATTTAGGACACGCTCTGAAAGGCTGGTACCCGAACAGCATGAAGCAGGCCATCACTTCTCAATGGTTCAATTCCCATTCATGTAGCCTACTCTATTTCAGAAATACTTTAAAAATATTTTTTCTAGAGTATCAGCACTGTTGGAGTGTTTCGATTTCTAGTACGATGCCTTAATTTTTTTTTTTGATTTTTTGAAATTGGGATATTGTCCATCAGTTTTTACATCCTGTACTGCTCCATTGAGATCACTGTTTCATTTTTCTCATCTGTGGGTTACAGCTTTATCCTTAGATTTTACGCAAGGGTCAAAGGTCCTTGAACTCATTTGGACCAACCTTTTGCCAATGCTCTTCCAGAATTCTTAGGAGATAAATTTATTTTTGACAGAAAATAAATATTATGTATCAATATATTTTATATATAATGTTTATTTACATACATGCGTGTTTAGAAACCAGTGATTTGTTGGTGAAATGATTTTTTAAAATGCCTCTAAACACGTAACATCTGAACAGGCTGGCCTGAATACCCATTCAAATGGTCCAACAAGGCCCTCCCTCATTATCTGATTCACTGGGACATTTCACCCACAAAGTCCTGTCTATCTGACTCGCCCCCAAGGTTCTAATGTAATTGATTTGGTGGTTGAATTCATCCTCTGATGTTAAATAGCTAAATGAGCCCGAAGCTGCCCATAAGACCTGGAAGGGCACGCTATACGTCCTCGTTAGCTAGGTTAGTCACTCTTGTCTCCAGAATCTGAAGCCCAGACTTGTATCCTTGCTCTGATGCACACAGGGTAGATAAAGAACCATGTTTAGCCTCTAATTCAATGTAATAAACATGTCAAATTACAGCACCTGTATCTCACATATTGGCTGAGCTCCTAATGGGCCATTATCTTACATTTGTTGAAACAACACACGCATCACAGCCATATCCCCGAGCCCCCACCCACGTTCAGGGAGAAGCAACCCTCCCTCCAAGTAAAATAAACAGGCCTTTGTCACTGTCGTCTTTGGCAACAAAATCGATGGCATAAAAACAATCACCATTATGAGTCAAACATTTTTAAGAGTGAATTCTGTCTGTAATTACCTCTCACATTAACCTGGTAGCCGGGAGACGGATGGTTACTGACTTAATTTTATGCAGTGTAAACATCTAGTGATTTTCTTTTTTATTTTCAATGCAGGAAATCAGATGATAGCAATGGTATAGAAAATAATGTCCCCAGGCACAGAAAAAATGTAAGTTACTTCTAAATGGTGTTCTAAGTAAAAGGTAAAATCCATTACACATAGGCTGTCTATTAATCCAGCTACTTGTTTGTTTGTTTGTTTGTTTGTTTCATTAAAGACCTAGTCAATCACTATGTGCTTGGGCAGGCTTGTTTACAATATTGTGGGGGAAAAGATATGGTCATACAAAAATAAATGACTTTTTTCTGCCACCAGAGAACCAATCTAAAAGTAAATTTATTGCACTGCTTATATATAGTTTTTTTCTCTTGTCACCATGAGCTGGTATCTTTTACAATTTTTCATGTAGTTCTTACTTCCCCCCTTTCAATTTTTCTGGATTTCTCTTTTATTCTTACATATCCCCATAGTTTTGGTTCATATTATCTTTTTGTGATTCATCAGTATTTTCCCCCCAGTAGCTGAGTAGGAGCGGTTGGTTTTAGCAATAGTTTGGGTCACCCCTTCCCAGCAGTTTTTGCTTTGCTAAAATGATGCCGTCACTACCTCATGCTAACCAGGACATGCTAATGAAGTTTCACTGTGTTTTATTTGGCTCAGGAATCTGTGGCCAGTGAATGAGAAGCACCGTGCCAATAGTCATGGGAAGATGGATGAAGAGTTTGTATTCCTGCTTTTTCTATGCTTCCTGTTAAGAACATCTGAGCTTTTATTTTTTAAAAGAATAAAGAGTTTAAGCAGCATGTTCAGCAGCAGCTTCATGAATAATAGATGCTATCTCAGATCTAAAGATGTTTTTGTTCTGTCATTATTTACATAAAAGCAAGGTAAATTGTATTAAATATGTTCTAGGAGCTTTAACCCAGGATAATAATTTCATCTGGTCCTCAGGGAACACAGACCAGACACCAGCAAAACCAGGTAATAGTTCATAGAGCTACTGTCACTCAAGACCTGCTTACAACCAAAGAATTCATTAAGAAGGAAGCCTTCGCCATTTGCCTTGAAAAGTGTTTCCCCCTAATTGCGCTTACTATGTATAAAACTGTAATAATAGTCATGTAAAATGCATCCTTCTGTCACCTCAAAGCAAAGTGTGTCTTTACTAGGAAGTGAGTACTTTTCGCCTTTGCTATGGATGGTTATTCTCTGCAGCTACAAGAAGAACACTGTTTTCCTCCAAACATTCTGGTTTAGGGTGAGGAAATAGAACCATGGGCTTCCCCAACCTGCATCACCACGGAAGCATCTGTCCCAGTCTGTGTCCCGTGCATCTGCACTGCTCCCCACAGGGCGGAAGTGATGCTTAGTCTTTACTGAGAGCATTTCTTTAAAGCCACGGGTTTGGGATTTCCTGAATCCATCGAGTACTGATGTTGGGCACAGGGCCATGTCGTCATAACACGGCACTGCTGCGAGAATGCTTGTGAGGTTCATGGTTTCCTGGCATCTTTGACTGGGTGCCTGGTCCCCTGGTGTCCGCAGCTTGCTCAGTACCTAAAAATGCACTATTACTGCCCCCCACCCCAACTCTTCTGTCTAAAATCCAGGAGTAGTGGAGTGCTTCTGTGATGCCGTGAATGCCTTAGACTTTTCTTCAAGGATAGACTACTCAGTAGCCCTCGCATATGTAACTGAAATATTATAAAGTCACTCTAACCAAACCACGTGAACTCTGAATAGACATGAAAATTCGTCAGTGGCTTTGATGAGAACATTAGAATCCTGCTGCGGAATACTGGATTGGGCTGAAGACGATGACGTGAAGCTGTTGAGTGTCTTGGTGGTGGGGGTCCTGTGTCCCACGGCTCGCAGAACGGTTGGAAGAAGAGGGCAGTTTGGGGTGTTGGCAAGGAACCCACAGTTCTTGGTGACTAGGGCATTAGAATTGGCATTCTAATTCTAGCAAGAGGAGTTTAATGAGTTAAAAAAACTTTATAGACATTTATGCTATGTGTTGTCTGAGAAAATTGCAATAAAATTCTGGTAGTGAAATTTGTAATTTATATGGCATCCTGACTAATGTTAAAAACAGCACTGGTATGACTAATACACATGAAGTAGTAGCCTGGAAGCTGCTCATTATTTTGTTGTAGCAGGGATTCATGTAAAGCTTGTCAGCTCTACCTACAAGCTTTGTCGAACTAGAAAACATCCCTTCGGTCATGGCAGATCTCATTTTATTCTTGAGTCATAGACTTTGCATTTATTTTGGTTTCATCAATTATTATTTTGATAACATAATTGTGGGCAGTATCTATATGATGACAGAGGACTCATCAGTTCTCTTAGTTAATCTAAAGAATTTGAATTTGGTGAGAAATTAGACCTGTTATCTGGCTGAGTCCAATCTGACACAGTATACATGTGACCTGGTATGTACCAACCAAAGTGATTTGTAGCTCGGGCACAGAATGCATCTGAACATTTTGCTACTAGTATAAAGGCTAAAATACTTTTCAAGCAAGAAAAATGGCTGCCCCAAGGTAAAGGGATCTGGAATATTTACAGAGTAAATTGAATTTTCAAATGGCAGTGCCTTGCTATTTTTTCAGCAAAGACAACTTATTTCTGTAACTTTAAGAAGAAAAAGCACTCAGAAAAATTAAGGGCGAATTTTGGCTTTTCAGAGTCTCTCTGGAGGGCTTCCGGAAAATTATTTCACTGGCATTAGATTAAACACGAAAAGCTTCCATTAAGTAACCAGGTAGAGATGATAAATGAACTCATACCGACCCATCAGCAGCTGACTGAAAACACTAAGTGAGCAGAAGCCGAAATAAGGAACCGCTGCACACTTAGGTACCAGATGGGAAAGCTCACTACTCTTTCCAGCTAACAGGGTTTTATAGCATATCAAATAGATTTAAGGTCATAAAATGCCCAGATACTAATGTAACTCTCCTCCCTTCATAGTCTTCCTCTTTTCCCTCAGTAGCCATTTATAACACCAAAACCTAGATCTCATCATGATATTTTCTTCTCTATTAACTAAAGCGTGCGAGCCATGAACCGCCCCTCCTTCGGCCTTCTGACATCTCATTGGTCCACCCACTGCCTCCCCTGCCTCACCCCATCCAGCGACAGCAACTGAATTCTTCATTTTCCTACCTCAGTCTCAGCTTGTTTTCATCCCCCCCTTTTTTGGCATTGCTGCCCAAATCATCTTTCTAAAACACAAAGCTCTCCATGTAGCTTAATGTGGGAGCTTCTGGTCAAACCTCTGCAGGCTGCCCTTTGCCATTTCTTAGCGCTGCCCTTTTGCAAATCCCTGATCTCTCTCCAGTGTCTTGAGTTAGCTTTGGCATAGCAAGATTTGGCTCAGGAGGCCAAACCCGAACCCCTCCCCACTGACCGACTCAAGGTCAGCTTTCAAGACATTGCTCCGATGTCCCCTGGAGGGATCCTCATAGCCAGTGGAGTGTGGACCACCCCATGTGTTCAAACAGCCGCAAGGCTCTGTGTTTATTACCGTCTCCTGGAAGTACAGCTATGCCTGTCTCCTTCCTGGACTGCTGTGCCTTTCCTTTGCGTCCTGATCTACCACAGAGAGGACACATTTGAGATGTCATGAAACATGTGATGAATGGATAAACGCATCAGTAAAAACCAATCAAATTTCATAAATTTGTTCTTTAGAAGAACTGTCTAAATTGTGACATCAGAATACAAAACATTTTGCAGAGATAAGCAAGATTTTAGAACTTTAGTTTTTGCTTCTAGTACTTTGAAAAACCGCATAGTAATATAAAATAAAAGTCAGACTCCTGTCTGACTTTAATAATGTATTCATATTTAGTGAGCAAAGAGAATTCTGATGCCTAAACTATTAGGGTATGTTGCTTTCAACTTATTGACATTCCTATTTTACTCTATTTTTCATGGGCAGTACAGATTTCAATCTGAATTTTATCCTTTCTTTTAGGAAGTCAATGCATGGACTTTATTTAAATGTAAAGAACTGGTGCACTGTGCTCCTTTGCACAGTACTGTTGGCGAGTGTTGATATGCCGTATTTTGCGTGCTTAATACGCATCCATGTTTTAGTACTGATTCCAATGCATAATTTGCCCATGTATGATTAGTGCTATCCATGTATAATGTGCATTCTTATTTTTCCCTCAAAAACTTAGGCAAAAACGTGCTCATTATACACAGCAAAATATGGCATGTACCCACTCCACTGAACTCCTCATTCCTCCTCCCCATCAGTGCTTTATAGAATCTCACAATACCTCAGAATCCAATTCAACACTGCATCTCAAAAAAGAGAAATTTTTAGAACATTTTAATTGTTTAGTTTTGATGACTGAAAGTTTGCCTTGAATTAAATTCATCAAAAGAGAAAACTGTCCATTCTGCTCCCTTATTCCCTGGGTCTTCAGCTTTGGGGCATTTAAACAGAATTATATGCAGCATGATTTACCGACTGCTAGACTTCTTCCTAGAAAATGAACTGCTGTGAAGGAATGAGGCTGGGCAGTGAACTTGGGACTCAGTCCACAGTAGCACTGTCCGCCTTCGGATAGGAATACATTCATGTATGTGTTCCAGTATTAATTAAAAGGCACAGAAACCTGCCCTAGCTGGTGTGGAGCTGGTCTGTGAACCAAAGGGTTGTCAGTTCAATTCCCATTCAGGGCACATGCCTGGATTGTGGGCCAGGTCCCCAGTAGAGGGTGTGAGAGAGGCGACCACACATCGATGTTTCTCTCCCTTTCTTTTGCCTTCCCTTCCCCTCTCTCTAAAAATAAATAAATAAAATCTTTTAAAAAGAAAGTGCAGGAACCTACTTAAAGCATGAACAACTACTTATTCAACAACTGAAAAATAGATAAATGATACAGTTATTTTGGAATCTCGTTACACATACTTATGAAATACCTACTTTGATTTTGATCAGTAGACTGAATTATCCTGCTCTAGTATAGATGAGAAGACTGGACTCTCCCTGTGCCTTTCTCTCACATGATATTCAGGACTGAAGGGCAGCTCCGTGCTGTCAATCGGGTTCTTTGAAAATATGTAATATTATTAAACACTAATGACGGACAGGTCTTGAGCACTTAGCATGTGAGAGGCACTGTGCTCAATGTTTTGAAACGTGTAATTATCTCATTTAACCTCCATATCATCCTACGTGTAGGAACTATTATCATTTACTTTTACAAAGATGAGGCAACTGACCCCTAGAGAGATTGTTTGGGGCTGGGATTGAAATGCAAGGAGGCCCCCCTCAAGAATCTAGCTTTTACAGCCGCATCGAAGAGCTTTGTCTTGCTACTTACATGTTTCTTGGAAAAATGAGACTATTGTCTATCAACTATCTTTTTTCAAAAATGTCACACCTTCAGGTGGTCCGCTAAGTGACAAGTGCCATAATGTCGCCCCGAAGGGCTCCCGGGCCTGGCGCACTGGCTCGCATGTGCCTCGGTCCGCGTGCTGGATATCGGTGCACTTCGGTCCTCCCACCACCTCGATTTTACTTCTCAACAGTGAATGCTACCGTCAAGTGTATCATGCAAACACCGAGGTTGGAGGAAGCTGCTCTTTATCATTTTAGCAGGACGACAGACAGCAGACGGGCTGGAGGGTCACACCTTTAGCTGCAGGGGAGGGCCGACTGTTTTTCGGGTCTTCCAGCCCAGGCACTTCGGGACAGCAGCGGCAAGTTTGACTGGGAGACACAAATCCACTTTAGGGAAAAAAACG